CTTGAACAATTTCATGGAAGTCCATGGATCTTCCATGGAATACCATTTACATGGAATTCCATGGAAGTCCATGGATTTCCATGAAACTTTTCACGGCATTCCGTGAAAAGTTCCATGGATGTCCATGACATTTTTGTCATGAAACTTTACATGAAATAATTTCACTCCTTGTCATGAAACATTTCATGGAATAATTTCATGGACGTTCATGACATGTTTCATGAACGCCCATGAACGTTCATGAAAACAAATGTCATGATAGCCCATGAACGTCCATGGAATGTTTCATGGACGTCCATGGTCTTTCATGGAATATTTCATGAACATCCATGAACGTCCATGGAATGTTTCATGGACGTCCATGGTCTTTCATGAAATATTTCATGAACATCCATGAACGTCCATGGAATGTTTCATGAACGTTCATGAAATGTTTCATGAAAGCCCATGAACATCCATGAAACATTTCATGAACATCCATGAACGTTCATGAAAAATTTCATGGACGTTCATGGGCTTTCATGAAAAGTTTTATGAAAGCCCATGGACATCCATGAAATGTTTCATGAACGCCCATGGAATAATTGCTGCTTCTAGCACTGCACGAAAGGGAACACAGTCTCGCGAATCTACTCGTAGCGTTCGTCTTCTTACGTTTGACTTGACCAATAGGCTACACGGTCGACTGGCGGGCTAGCGGCTGCTCCTCGATTCTCTTGGGGGTATGCATGATAACATTGCGAAGACGACCGACCCTGTATTGTACGGCGTGTCTGCAATCTCTCTGCGATCGCCACAGCTACTCAGCGCCAGCGATAATGCAAACCATGCGAGGGCGGGACGCGGAAGCGTCGACGCGTCGGCGGAAAACACGAGGATACATGGGGATATGTCCCCGCCCCCCCCAAAATTGAACAAAATTACCCCGATTTTCGATTATGTAGAGTACAGTAAGCCTACCTAACTAACTGAGTGTCTTTAATTTGTGTTCACGACACTACGGCTTCGAAACGCACCTCACCTACCTCACTCGGCAATGGCTAGGTTCCGGTTGGAAGCGTTTTTCCCTTTCGCAATCCTCCACCCCTCCATTATCCGACGGTTCGCCAGATCGGGTCTGACTGTGATGGGACACCCATTCATTGCTGAACGCGACGAGCTGGCGGTGGAGGCCGTCGGCGAGTTTGTTGTGCCCGACCGTTTGGCTTCTCCCGCGGCTCTGCTGATGGGCGGAGGATGGTGTCCACCACTAACTTTTCTTTCGGCTTCACAGGTGGCCAAAGTACACATTGGGGGTAGGTTGGGAGCACCCCCAATGTCGGGCAGGTTGTGGAGGGGGGTTGGGAGGCAGCCACAACCTTGGCCAGCCCTCTTGGTTGTACAAGGCTGGGTGCTGAAGGTTGGGAGGGCTGTCACAACCTTGGCCAGCCCTCCTGGTTGTACAAGGCTGGGTGCTGAAGGTTGGGAGGGCTATCACAACCTTGGCCAGCCCTCCTGGTTGTACAAACACAGACCCAATAGGTTGGGAAGCAGCTACAACCTTAGGCCAGACCTCCTGGTGGTGAAAGCACCGAAGATACACAGGTTGGGAGGCAGTTGGCAACCGATCCCGCCAGACAGATGGGAAGCTAGAGTGGGGTGTGTGCATTCGAACCAGCGAGCCCCCTGTTGGTGGGTTTGCTTTGTGTGTGGTGGTGTGTTGCGTTGTGGCCTGCGCGCCCTCGTTTCCACACTGCACATGACGAGCCTTGACACAGGCGACCAGAGGCCGCAGCGTGCCAAGACGAATACGATTAGACTGGTGGCATTCCTTTCGTAACCAAGGCAACAGGCTACTATCTCTAGATGCTCGGACTTCGGGCACGGCAGCCGCCGCGGCTAACCCGCCGCACTTGTGCTGCTAAGAGCGGCAAGACGAGCTTCTACACGGCGCGCGCGGACAAGAGAGAGCGACATGCCGGCAGCAGTTTCTGCTTAGGTAAGCAAAAGAAGGATGCATGAAGGGAAAGTTGTGTGTTGTGTATCCCTGTGTCCCCTGCGGGAGAGGCGCGAACTCAGCATTTAGTGTTGTTACATGTGCTCAGACACCAGCAGTTGGTCCTGCACACCCAATGGCTCTGGGCCTACTGCGCGCATGCAGCTCTTACTCATCATGTACAACGGGGAATTGTCCCGAAGGCGTCAATCAGTGCCCAGCCTCATTAGTCATTGTTTAGGGCGGGGGATGTACATGCTGCTGTAGGCACTTCGCCATTTCTCAACGGTTTTTTGAGGGGGTCGTGCTTGAAGTATTATTATAGTATTTTTCATCAGTATTTTGTGACAACGCGCATGTCGGCTGTATGACGTGTCCACACACATGCCAAGCAGAGACCGCGTGAACCGTCCAGAGGCATCAGCCGACGCTCAGCCCTTAACACGCCCTGTTTTTTTTAGACAAATTGTAATTGTTCGATTGACACAGGGTCGTTCACACGTCGCAATATTGTAAACATGCGTTCGTTTTGAAAGCAAGAATTGACTATTATACCGTAGGTTGCATAAGATACCACACCCCCCTTAACCGAATTTCGCACCTCTATTTTTCCCGACAAAGACAATGATATGCCAAAGTCAAACGATACATTTTTGGAAAGTTCTGGACTGGACAGTTCCAATGCTACCATTTCCGGCACCGCCACCTC